TCTAAAGTGACTTATCCAAACTCTAATTTTACACATGCTCAGGACACACACACACACACACACACACACACACAGAGAGAGAGAGAGAGAGAGAGAGAGAGAGAGAGAGAGAGAGAGAGAGAGAGAGAGAGAGAGTCTAGCAAAGCAATGCATATCCTACGAATGTCCCGATTTTGTGGGCATCTCTCAGAGGCTGAGGCTCCAGCCTATAACCTGAGCCCTCTGCAGGGCAGACACCTCCGTAGCTCTTGCTGCCACCACTCAGGGACAGACTTAAGAACATAGTTGGGCATTTCGTTACCCAGATAATGAAATTTTTGATCAACTCTCCTTGGCTCTATTCTGTAGCAGGCAGCGAGAAAGAAGTGTGTATACTAAAGGAGGCTGGGATGGGGTCGGGGGCAGGGAGGGGGCACAGATAACCATCTGCCTCCTCTAGCTCTTCCTTTATCTCCCCTGTAGCTGCTACCAGTTCCTCAGCCCACACACCTTTTTCTGCATCAGGAACTACTATCACAAGGCCTTTCAAGATAGTCATTGTTGTTTTTCCCATTCCTTAGTTCATAATAGACTGTTACAGGTGAAGTATTTGTTTACATGGCTCTTCTTCTTGATTCTGCTGATGCTCTTAAAGCAGAAGGTTCACCTTGAGGGTTGAAGGCATCTTCAACCCCAATGTGCTGTTGTAGAAAGAGTAATGGTGTTTAAATTAGAGATAGGGTCTAAAGCATAGCCCTCATCATTTCCTAATTTGGGATCTTGGGCCACACATCATTTTAGGGACAGAATGTAGTTGCTTCTGAAGTCAGATGAAATCATACTCAAATGATAAACAGGGTCTCATACTGGGGAAAAAAATCATATATATTAAAAAAAAAACCCTCATGTTAAAAAAAGAATCTTGCCGGGCGGTGGTGGCGCACACCTTTAATCCCAGCACTCGGGAGGCAGAGCCAGGCGGATCTCTGTGAGTTCGAGGCCAGCCTGGGCTACCAAGTGAGTTCCAGGAAAAGGCGCAAAGCTACACAGAGAAACCCTGTCTCGAAAAACCAAAAAAAAAAAAAAAAAAAAAAAGAATCTTATAGACCCAACTATGTTCTATGTTTTGCAAAATTCTCAACTACAGTCTTTGAGTTTTTCAAAGTTAAAAGAACTTCTCCTGCATGTGTGAGTATTTCACTATTCACTGACCTCATGAACTACTCTTGCACAGGGCCCAAGTTCTAATCCCATAGCCATGTTCAGTGGCTCACAACCACCTGTAATCCAGCTCCAGGGGATCCAATGGCTTCTATGTGACATCTGCACTCACATATAGATGGATACCCATTCACACACAGACACACACAGAGAATTAAAAATAAAATCAGTCTTTAGAAAAGGTATATTTACCAACTTCTATTGGTTGCAAAGACTCAACATGGAAGACTCACCACAGCTTGCATCTTGGGTTCCTGGGTGAAACTCTGGCCTTCAGCTTGGGTTTATCATGAGGGTTTTAAGAAACTAGATAATCTTTCAAGTTTCAGGAGTGGTAGTTTTTGTAAACTATGTGCTTTTTATTATCTTAAGTGCTTTTGTGTTATTTCACCTCTTATTTAGCTCCTATACCTGAATCTTAAGTGCAGTTGAAATTTCAAGAAAAGCTATATATTGGACATTAAAGAAAGGCTGGCTATGTGGGCCCAAAGAACAGGGGCCGTGGAAGGGTTTCTTGGTTGTATAACCTGAGTTGGTCAACACCTCCCTAGGCTGCCAATTTTGTGTCTTACAATTAGCTAAAATTTCTTTCTTTCTTTTTTTTTTTTTATTTTTCGAGACAGGGTTTCTCTGTGTAGCTTTGCTCCTTTCCTGGATCTCACTCTGTAGACCAGGCTGGCCTCGAACTCACAAAGATCCGCCTGCCTCTGCCTCCCAAGTGCTGGAATTAAAGGCATGTGCCACCACCGCCCAGCTAGCTAAAATTTCTTTTAAAGGTAGAATAAAGACATGACTACTGGAGCTGAAAATTTCTGTAGAGTCCCAGAAGCAATGTAAAGTAGTGAGTGTCATCTGAGGCAGCCAGACTCACAGAGAACATCTAAATGGAAGCAATGCTTTGAGCAGCTGTTGGGTGTAGGAAATACAGAAGCCTGGAAGCCTGGAGACTTCAGGAAGCAGAGGAAAGTCATCTTTCTGCTAAGAAACACTGGGTCCAACACATTGGAGAAAGGTGAGATGTGTGCTTAACTTTTAGATCACGGTTCCAATAGAATACATAAAAAGATGTTTGTGAGTCAGCTGTGCCTATGTGAACTGGACTAGATGAAGAGGACACAGGAAAAGGATGGTAATTTTTAAAGCATGATAATGGTATTGTGATTACATAGGAAAAAAATCAGTGTTGAGAGATGCATGATAAGAAGTATGTAGGATAAAATGGTACAATTTCTTCCATCTGATTAGCTTTCTAGTAGTTCAGAAATGCAAAGACAGATGTGCAGAAAGAAAAAAATATGGTGATTCTGAGTCTAGATGCATATGACAGCATCTGTGAATAATTGAAAATTATAGCAGAATTTATTTAAAATTTTGTTTAATTATCCCCTCCCCTTCTGGGTGTGCCTGGCATGCCCTTCTTAAGTGTGCACAAGACGTTTGTACAAACAGGGCCACTTAAAGTGTTCAGTGCACCAGCTAAAAATTCCAGAACAATCTAAGTCCCTGTTAGTGACAGCTGTGTGGAAGATAAGGCAGCCATTATATATAAAAGAAGCTGATTTATATGTACTGCAATCGGGAAAGTCCCAAAAGTGTCTAACAATGTGTATCATATGAACTCAAATTTGAATGAAATATATTTAAAGCCAAATCTATTTTTAATTTATATATATCAGGTTTTTTGATACAGGGTTTTTCTGTGTAACTTTGGATCCTGTCCTGGATCTCGCTCTGTAGACCAGGCTGGCCTCAAGCTCACAGAGATCCTCCTGCCTCTTCCTTCTTCCTCCCGAGTGCTTAGATTAAAGGCGTATGCCACTGCTGCCTGGCAAAATATATTATCATGTAAAGTCCACAGAACAAAAATTTGGAAGGGTGTCTCCCTGACCCTGACAGTGTGGGCAGGAAACAAGGGGTCTGGGAGAGAGTTCCTTGGTTTTTTTTGAGGGGGAGAAGGTTTCAAGACAGGGTTTCTCTATGCATAGTCCTGGCTGTCCTGGAATTCACTCTGTAGACCATGCTGGCCTTGATCTCACAGAGATCTGCCTGCCTCTTGCCTCCTGAATGCTGAGACTAAAGGGGTGTGCCACCTCCACCTAGCAAGTTCCTTGCCTTTTACCCCCTCCTTTTGCAATTGTTAAACTTTTAACAAAGAGAGGATATTTTTATATCTTCTAATTAAAATATAGTCAAATAAATAAATAAATAAATAAATAAATAAATAAATAAATAAATAAATAGAAACAGAAAATGCTAGCAGAATGGGAGAACAAAAACAGAGGAACCAGGAAGGTAAGCCGGCCAATTTCCAGAGCAGGATGGCTTCACAGCCAAAGTGATCAGAGAGGGAGAAAGATGGATAACATTTTAGTTTCATCACAAAGGCCTTTCATTAAAAAAAAAAGAGAGAAAAAAAAATAGAAACCATTGTCAGCAATGGGGTTGATCACGTGACTAAATTCCATTAGCAGGAAGGAGGAGGCTCCCCCTGGTAATCACGGGCAAAGTCAAGATGACTGCAAAGGTCGCATGGCCACTGGAACACCCCTGTAATTTGTATTGTAATGAACTATTACCTCAGCACAATCATGTGCCAGGCATTTAATTTACAAGTGCAGATGCCTGGCGGTTGACTTTAAAATTGCTCCGAAATTACCCTCATGTAATCTGAACAACTACAAGTGTGGCCAGGGCTTCATTAGAAGGGAGCTGCGCATGCAGGCCTGGGGACAGCAGACTGTGGCATATTTCGACTGGCTGCGCTGTGTGCATCTGTGTTCTGAAACTTCAGTGCTGGCCTCTGAACACGCCCACCCAGCTTTCCCTGACTGGACTGCAGACTCTTCCTGGGGTCTTCTGGACAAAGGGGTCTCCCCGACTTGCAGTGGAACACGGACTAGAAAATAAAATGATTTTTTCCCCTTCCATTTTCTTGGGAGTTCTACCGTCTGTTTCCACTAAGGAAAGAGGCACAAAAAGAAGGGAGTACACTGCTTTCAGGGCTGAGGAGGCTTCCGTGAGCTGTGATTCAGGTCTGCCCTGGGCGAGAATGTGCCAGGGAGGCTGGCCTTCACTGGGTGCGTGCCTGTTCATCCGGATAAACCAAATTGGGAGGTTTCCAACCTGTCACACCACCACAAATGGCATGTTAGAAAGTATAGGCTCTCGTTTTTCCATCAAAGTTGGAGCTTAGTTTTGCTTCTAGGAATCACACATCCTTGGTGCCAATAAAACATTTTATACACGTTTTAAATGCTTGGCATGCTGGGCCAAGCTTTGGCCAGAGAAGGCTCCTGCTTTTGCTGGAGGATCATTTTTGCACAGTATCATAAGGTGAGAACGCACATCTCTGAGAACCATCCTCCAACACTGTGACCACGTTAGGTACCAGCACCACCAGGGACGTGCAGGTGCTCAGCACCTTTGCTGATGCCGGCCACTTCTCCGAGAAATGCTGAGTTCAGTAAAGAGGCTGAAAGCACGTGCTCAGGCGGCAAGATTGAAAATAAAAATTGAAAACCTTTTAAGCCTTGCTCACAAGGTGGGTCTGGGTCCACGACACCCGCTCCGGGGTTTGTGGGGATAGTTTCCATCTGCGCACGCTCAGTGCCGACGGGTTGGGGGTGGGGTGGGGATAGGTGGTGTCCCAGGTCTCAGTTGCGCAGTGAAATAAAAAAAAAAAAAAAAAAAAAGCCTAAGTAAACTCTGGCCATCAGATAATGGGGCCATTATAACTCTGGATGACTTCCTGAATGGTCTAAAGCATGGCTTTCTCATTTCCTGCCTGCAGGACAGAGAACTGTTCCGACAGCACTGTGTGCAAACGGGCAGGGAGAGGGACAGGGAGAGGCGGCGGGAACCGGCCCGAGCACCAGGGCCTGGAAGCCGAGACACCGGAGAAAGCCGGCCGCTGGCGGCCAGTCCCGCGCTTGCGCAGTCAGCGGTCCTACCTGCCGCGCAGCACCCCAGGGACAGCAGGACAAAGAAAATCAGGCGCTGGGGCGAGCTAGTAGAGGGAAGGGCGAGCCACGAAGCTGCCGCTCCCATTAAAACAGACAACTCTGCTATGCTTGGTGTTAGTCCAAGACCCTGCCAGGAAGGAGCTGGCTCACAGAGAAGCCACGGCTTCATTTTTTCCCATACTCAAGTGGTATGTCTTTCAAGGGCGCTTTTCCTCTAAGCCAGCAAAATCATCTCTCCCTCCTCCATCCTGCCTCTCCCCCTCTTCCTGTCCCTCTCCTTCCCTTTATGTCCCCCAACCCCTCTTTTGGGTTACCACAGACCTAGAGTAATCATAACCTTGTTAAATCTCCTCAGAGCGGCTGGCTGTGAGAATGCTCTGCTTTGGAGATCCCAGCCCTCTAGGTCTGTGAGACGACTCGGAGTTTAACTTTTCCTCAGCAATAAACTGAAGGTCAGCATGGGAACCAGGAGGCAATGAAAAAATCAGATAATTCGTTTGAAAAAGTCTGTATTTCTGGGCCTGGTACACCTGATGCACCTGACACGTAGCTACTGCGATGCTAGCAATAGCTTTTTAGATTATTTCTGAGACATCAGGGAAGGGATGCTCCCATCTACAGAGTAAGGCAGCGACAAACGGCATGGCTATTTGCTTCGTGGCCAGATGTGGAGCAGACTGTACATGACCTCAGTTTCTGCTTCTCCTGCCATCTCACTTGGGGTCATTAGGTCCTACTGCCTGATTTTTGAAAACAACGTGAGAATTGGATTATAGAATTAATTAAAGTATTAATTAAATTAATTAATTATAGTAGTAGGTCAGTAGACAGCAGACAGCCACAGGAGGCCATCTCTCCTCTGCCTTGGTTCTTAGCAAAGTGTTTAGCAGAATTTCACCACAAACTTTTGATTTTGTCAGAGGGCTAAGACCACTTCCATCGTAGATATATTCAGATTCTTGTCTGTTTACTTCAGCAAAATTTTTCAGAAAGAAAGAAACACGATTGATGAGGTACCATTTGTGCCCTTCGCTGTTCTTCCTATAATCATATTTTTTTATGATAAACTTTTAGAGATATGAACCATCTTCATTTAATAGATAAGGAAACAACTAATCTGGTAAAGTAAGTAATTTGCTTCGTGGCCAGATGTGGAGCAGACTGTACATGACCTCAGTTTCTGCTTCTCTGCGGAACGAATGTAGGGGGTCAGGGAAGCCTTAGAAGTCCAAAGCCCACGGGCCTTTCCTTCATACTGAATCCCTGGGAAGACAGATGTGTGAAGAGACCATACCAAAGACAAGAACAGCATTGAGTTTTTGGAAAACTGAAGGAACTTACATGAAGGCAGTGTGTTTGACCATCTAGAAAAGGCAACAGCTGACCGGAACCCCTGAGATGTCGAGCCCTGTACTACTGATGATTCAGCCATTAACTATAATCTGATATGCAGCGTTCACATTTTTAAACATGAAATGTCGTGAAGCTGGTTTACGCTGTAGGCAGGAGGATGGCTGCCATGGGTACTCTCCATTTCTGAAGGTTCTGATTCCCTTTCAGCTGCTCAGTGACTCCTTGAGGCACTGAGGACACAGAGAAGTCAAAGCGAAATTTTTCCTGGATTTCAGTGGATCTCCTTGGTTAATTCTTTGTTTATTGAGTCTTCATTTTGTGCCTGACTGCTGAATACAGTGTGGCTACACTCCTGTGGCATTGAGAGAAATGGCTCATCTGGAGAACCTGAACAGAAGGCAGCTGGTGGACACCAGGATTTGCACCCAAAGCTAGCACACAATTGCTTTCCTTGGAAGGCCAAATTTCAATGCATCAAATTCCCACCCCAGAGCAGCCTTTCAGATATCTGAGGACAGCTCTTACAGCATCCTTAGTGGTTTGCAGCTTAAATGTCTGTCAAGGCTCTTGTGCTAAGGGCTTTCTGCTCTGTTCTGCTGTGCTCCTGGGAGGTGGGGTCTTATGGAAGGATGTTAGCTCATTAGTGGTGTTTCCCCACTTTTTTTTTTTCCTGTTCTGTGGTTTTGCTTTATGGGCACCATGTACATGGTTTCCACCATTTGTACTTCCTCCCCACAGGCCCAAAAGCAACAGAGCCAACTGAGCTGGGACAGAAATCTATGAAACTGAGAACCATTCCAGATGTCGATTTCCTTAGGTACAGTTCCTCAGTGACAGAAAGCTGACACATGAGCTTCCTTAATTTTCTCACAGGTAAGCATCCCAGTCCTTCTTCACCTGTCCCTGGGACTTCTTCCTAGTGATTTCGCTGTCCTCTGACCACACAGCATAGCCTCAGAACTTAGCGCTACTAAATCGCAGAATCTGGTCCAGTTTCTCATCTCTGTATTATTTCAATACATTTTGACGCAAATTCGTAAGATAACACTCCCATGTTTAGGTAACACAAAGAAGTCAAAGTTTTGAAAAATGTAGCTAAGGTCCTACATGAGTTAGTTTTGATTTAATGATGTTTATCCTGGTTATGATTGACTTGATCAGGTGGAAAATCGTGGTTGACCAAGGCCTCCTAGAAGGAGATGCTTCCCATCAGAGAGAAACCTCTAAAAGCCAGATCTCATCCCTACAACCTCAAGAAGCTAGACTCTTCTAACTGCCATAATGAGCGTAGTTCCAGATGAGAGCACACTTTGACCACAGCCTTGTGAGACCCCCAAAGACACTGAGAACTGAGGCTCCTCTTTGGCTGTACTTCCGACAAATTTTGTTGCCTTTATAACAATAATCCTTTGTGTGCTTTTCTCACTTCACATTGACACAATACACAGTTTCTCAGACGGATCCAGATTGCTGACATGGGGTATCTGCAGCAGTCCCTCCGGACTGTGGGAGGCCATGGTGGAGTGAGTCAGAATATCCAGAGAAAACCGTTTCCTGGAGTTCAAGGATGGCTTAGTAAGGAAGACAGCCCAGCGTTTTTAATGCCTTTTAGAAATCAGCTCAGGCTGTCTTAACGACATTGGTGAAATCACCAGGGCTGATACCATCAAAAATCAGTCTTCAGAGGCGTTCATAAACTTTTATGTGTTGTGAAGTGAAATATTTTAGTATTATGTGCACAAGTCTTGACTCTGGTACATGTTATTTGGAAAAAGGGTCTTTGAAGATATAGTCAAGTTACAATGGGGTCACATTAGATAAGGGTAGGCCCAGTGACTGGTGCTCCTACATGAAGAGGGGAGTGTGGACACAGACGCTCAGATGGGCGAACACTGTGTGAGGACACAGAAACAGACAAATAAGAGAATGCCCTGTAAGACAGAGGCAGACAGAAGTGTGTTGTACCAACAGGGCAAGGAAAGCAAGTGCTCCTGGCAACAGCAAACCCTGGAAAAGCATGACCCTCCCTTTTAGGTTTCAGAGAAAACATGGCCCTGATGACACATGGACTTTAGAGTTTTGGATTGGAAACCTGGAGAGAACACACTTCGGTAGTTTGAGACCAGCAAGTCTGTGGTACATGGCTGCGGCAGCTGTAGAGAATGGTATACCATAATTGCCCAGAATCCTGAATGCATGCAAGGCATTTAAACAGGGTCTCAGACAGGAGCTGATGTGACATCCAGAGCACAAGAGGCTGGCAGCCTGGAGGACGACCCTTCAAAGAAGCAAGGAAAGCAAATCCTCGTCCGAGTTCTTAGGTAACACACTAGGACACTGCACTGTTTTGCTTTGTGGGTGGCTTCGCAGCTAAGCCAGTTTTTAGATGCCACCAGCTGAGTTTAGCTTGGAATGAACTGCTCCTGGCCAGCAGTAGATGGGAGACAAAGACAGAAAGAAAACAAAGAGGTTTATGAAGAATTGTGAGGTAGTGTAGAGTGTAAACAGAAACAAGGAAATGAGAGTATTGAGACTGTACATCTCTACAGATGTTTTATGTTCACTACCTACCTTCCTGCTCCTTGAGACACCAAGAAAGAGGGAAGTTCCTTCCGACATCTCATATTGTAAAATTTCTACGACTGGCTTTTCCTTTTGTAACTTTGCATATTTGGGGGTTAATCTTGTATCCACTTATAGCCTCATTTTCATACTCTGGCTGGGTGAAAGGACCACGCTAAACTGGGATTTCACACTGTGAGTCTCAACCCAGCATTGTGTTATGAAATCTATTCCATGAGTTGAGACGAGCATAATGTAAAGAAAGAAAAATAAGCAGAACAGAATAAAAGAACAGATAATAGAAAATATCAGAGCAATGCTGTGAATGTAGGGTTATGTGCTAAAACTACGTAGAGCCATGAGTGTATGTGAAAATACTAAAAATCATTTGTCAGAACGTACTGTGCAAGCTGTCAAAGGAGAAAAATTATCAATAGTCCTATCAACCGTAAAGCTTGAGAACCACAACAACGACCAGACTGATGAGACATCCCCAGTAGTGCACTATTAGCACTGTATCTTAGCAGTAAGCAACAGTTGTCCAGTAGGTCATAAAGGGCACTCAATTTGAGGGAATTCATGTCTGGTAATACCAATCTAAACAAGAACCTGTAGCTAGAGAGATAGCAGGCCCTAGAGGAGAACCTACTACCATCATGTGACTAAAGTGATCTAGTCTCCAACTGCCTTTCAAATACTATCCTTACATCCATAGGTAAGTGCAGTTTCTACCCGTCATCGCAGAAACTTCTTTTTGAAGTAGACAGAAGCTGTCAGAATGACCTACAACCTGTCAAAATGCCGAATAAAGGACAGTGGGGGAACCTGGCCCCAAGTGGGACATCCATAACACAGTAAGGCTCAGGGAACTTCCTGAAGGTGGGGGCAGAAAGATTTTAAAAGCCTAAATACCAGTTTTTCTTGGGTAGTACAGGAATGCTATGCCCATGAACTCTAAACAATATCTTGCCTTCATAATAGCAACAAGACCACAGCAGTCACAGACCAACATGGGAGGACTCCACCCTTACATGAAGACCTAAAGGCTTTCAAGGGTGGGAGAATCAGTTGTTTACTCTTTTAGGGACCAGATCAGTCCTAAGTGGTCAGCCTTATACACATGCAAATGAGGGCAACACTAATTGAATGCAGTAGATTATGTGTGCCTGTTTGTGTACATATCTATTTAACTATAGAAGAGGGAATGAATTTGAAAGGAGATGGTGGGGGGACATGGGAAGAACTTGGGGAGAGGGAAGAGTGGGGCTGGTGCAAATGCAGTGAACTCATGTATGAAATTTTCAAATGATTTTTTTTTATAAAAACATTTCTTAACTTGCTCAGGTTAAAAATTTTTGAAAGCCACCAAACTGTGTTACCATAGGACCTTTTCTATCTCAGCTATTTTTGAACTGATGACTGGCTCCAGGATACTTTACAGAATGAACTAGAACACACCGAGCATACTTTAAAATGTAGAAAGCTGATAAATTAGAGAAAAAAAACAAAAAACAAAACTAACAAACAAACAAACAAACAAAAAACACTGCTTCAAAATGGCCTCATAACCCACCCTATTTCCATCAGGTGTTGGGAACTATGTAGACAGGGCCATTTCTAGGCCAAGGTAAGGGGTTGTATTCGAGATTAACTTTTGCCAGGGGAATATGGATGGGAATAGCACACTTCAGAAGACACGCCCACTTCTATATAATTAAAGGTAGTTGGGAATAGGCCACCTCCCAGGTCCTGAGCTCTTCCACATTGCACTTTGGACCTGGCCTTTACCAGAAGTGGCCAGTGTACCCTGAGGAGGGGAAAGCTGGATCTAGTCTAGACAAGATTCCGTCATGCCAAAGACATGCATGAACAGGCCTGCCAAAGATGCTCATTGCTGTGCTCAGCAGACCATTCTCCTCCTGGCTCTGGGGTAGATGAAGAAGTAAACAGCACAGACTCCATTTTCTAAGGGGGTGGATCTTGTGTGCAGATGACATCAATAGATAACTTCCTTTGCTGCAATAGTCCACAATCAATAATCACTCTGTTAATCATTTCTACTCCCTGTACACACAGAGTTCTGCCAAGAACACATTTCAAATGCTTTCTGTTCAAAGTAAATTTGTTATTTTGTATGAAGAAACATTTTTTCTTGGGGAAATGTGGCAATCAGGCACACTTCTTAAACATCCAGGATCTGCAAATGTGTTTGCCTTTACATCTTGCTGAATGCACATGAGTGTGTAGCACCTATAGGAAGCTTCTTGTTTGTGAGGGCAGACCATTCAACCTCCTGACCAATGATTGATGTCACTAGGTCACTCCTGGGTCCTGGCTCAACAGAGAAGAATGGTCTGTAGTTCTTATCATATCCACGTCATGGTGAATGATACCTTACTTTATCTGAGTTTATTTTATTTTTAATTGACAAATAAAACATATTTATGCTGTATAACTTGATATTTTGATATTTACATATACTGTTGAATGGCTAGCTTGAGATAATTAACATATTCATTGCTTCACATATTTTCTTCTTGGAGTAATAAAAAATGTCTATTCACCCCATTAGTAATTCTGAAGTCTGAACTATACTGTAATTAACTGTAGTCACTATGATTTGCCATTAGATCTCTTGAGAGCATTTCCTCCAACAAACTGCAACCTGGTTGCCTTTCCACAGCATCTCCTTAGCCCCTGGGGACCACTCTCCTATTGTCTGTCTCTGTGAGTTCTGCTATTTTAGATTCTACACATAAGTGAGGTCATACAGCACGGCTTTTCTGTATCCAGTCTACTGCAGGTGACATAATGTCCCCCAGCTCCACTTGTGATGGGGTTTGACAGGGTTTCCTTCTTTTTGTGGCTGACTAGCATTCCCTCTTGTATACACTATCACCACAAGTAGAGACCTGTGCTTACTACAAACAAAGCTAAGAGGAGCCAAGCTCCCACTCAGTATAGCCGTCCAGTGTCTTATATTAAAACACAGACCTTTTCAGCAGACAGTATGGGAGCAACCGGACATCACAGGCAAAAGCCATGCACTGTGATGTAACCTCCTCAAAAATTAAAAAGGAAAGAACTGCAAACTTAAATCTAGAATACAAAACAAAAAACTTCTAGAAGATACTATGAGAAAATCTTTGGGACCTGTTCTCATGGAGAATTCTCAAACAGGACAGCAAAAAGCACAGTCCGTGAAAGAAAAACACGTTTGTGATGAATTCTTTTATCTGTCAAACAACTCTGTCAAAGAAGTTGAAAGTGAGCTATAGACTATTTGTAAAGAACAAGTCCAATAAAGGATTCACACGCAGAGTATAGAAAGAACCCTGACACACGTGTGCTCTGGCAGCATGCCTAAATTCAGTTTTGCTGGAGGGAGGTCTTTGAGGTACACAGCATTTCTTTCTCACAGGCTGCTGGGTTGACTTCCTGTGTCTACTCAGGTTTTTGAGGTCCTATGAAAATAATACCTAGCAAAAAGCAAGCAAGCAAGGCGTGCTTCTTGCACACAAACTTAGAAGGCTGCTAAAATTTTTCCACAATCAGCAAATGACAGTGCACGCTGTGGTTTCAAAGTCTCCGTCAAAATTTAATCCTCACTTTGAGGAATTAAAAGGTGACACCAGGCAGAACATTTAAGAGGTGACTGAGCCACAAGGGTCTGACTTCAGGAGTGAGCTAATCTGTCTGGCTACCTTCAGAGCCGTTCTAGTACAGGAGCCCGCTCGCCTACCCCTTGGCTATGCCTCTTTCCATGTGACCCTCTGCACGGCCTTGGGGCTCTGCAGAGTCATGACCAGCATGAGGGTCCTCTCCAGATGTAGCTTCCTGACCTTCAGCCTCCCAAGCCTCTCTAACCTGGAGCTGAACAAAACCCTATTATTTATAAATCATCCAGACTGTGGTATTCAGTTATAGCAACAAAGACAGACTGTGACAATACAGTATTTTAAATGGAAACTGACGTGAGAAAATCAGCAGTAAATAAAATATTAAAATGTAAATGGTAAGAAGATTTAATGACTGTCTCAACCTTCCCTGGGACCCAGACTCTGGAAAAAGAAATCACACAAAGAGCACAGATCCGAGAAGAATGAACTAATGAGCAACTCCCACCTCTTCAGTTTCTTTCCCTAAACATTTCCTCCTGATTCAGAACACATAGTTCACCCCAGCAGCCACATTCTGACCACTTGTCATCTCTGCAGAGCCCACTCTGCAGGACACATCTGGACAGAAGGTACATCTGCTCACCTGTCTCTAATGCAGGCTGAGACCCAGCACCGCCCCTATGGCCTCTCTCACTGCTGACCTGCTCCCTCCCAGACTCCTCTCTGGATCCAAACTGTGCGTTTCTCTTTTTCACCCAGCCCTTACTTAACCCAGGACTCCCTGGACAGCTTTCCAGAAAGCTGAGTTTTGATTTTCTTTATCCTTCTGAGACCTCCTAAGTAAGTACTTTCTGCCATCCAGAAGAACGGAAAGAGCCTGTGAGTGGTTCAGAGTCCAGGGCTCTGTTCTAATACACTCTGCACCAGAAACGAGCCCCAGACAACATGAACGTGCTGATAAAGCGATGCAGCTTAGGACTTTCTTTGTCCATGCTACTGTTCCATTGCTCTAGAGCAGGGGCAGTGATGGTACAGAGACTCATGGCACGTGGGTTATCCAGTTCCATCTCAGCGGCACTCCCTCATCCATTCGATCACAGCCACAATCTAGGGCTCTGCTGCAATACCTAGGCTCTTACCAAGACTGACCCACCCACTCATGTTGGGCTGGAGAGGACATTACTTAATCCATTCATTAGCTGTAGGGTATATGTGATCCCAAAACTAATTGAAAATTTTTATAGATGAGTTTGTAAAAACCCATTTCCCCCAGGCTGTCCTGAGCTGGAGGAGGAAGAGAGAAGTGTATAAACTTTCAGGTGCTTAGGTATTTTAGCTGACTTGGCATAATTGACATATATTCCTTATCAATTAATAAATGAACTAGAAAAGTTCTTCCCACCTCTGGAGACAGTGTCAAGCCTAAAAACATACTGTACAAGGAACTTTCTGGTGTGTACATGCTTTGGGGATAGATGGTATCTTGGACAAATGTTACCAGAAGACTAGTGGACAGAACTTTGCCACCTAACACTGGAGGAACATGCGTCCTCACTGCTACCACTTAGTATTTCCTTCTGTCTCCATATGCCCATATGCAAATGTCAACGTATAAGATCCTATAAAAAATGGGAACAAGATAAGTGCTCCCTGGTTTCCAGGGAGCCAAGAGTACAGCCTCCCGATGACTCACACACATTGTTCTCAACTCTTCTTGACTGCCATGTACTTTACCCCAAGAGCCCTGGCCATCTCCTCCCCCTTCTACACCCACAGTGTCACTGGGTCACTTCAGATAGTGCTTAAACAGAGAAACATTACAACTGTGCCAAGCTTTACTAGCTAAACAAAAGCAAGCCTGGTGGCGTCAGAGCCTGCTCTCCAATCCCAGCTCAGGACACAGCCTCCAGCTCTTTGCAGCTGCTTTAGGGTGGAAGACATAACCCTGCCTCCCACCAGCCACCTCTCCAGAGCATCCCTTCTAGTTAGCTTTCCACTAATTCCAGAAGAAGACATCTTGCAGCCTGGCACAGCTCCCACACTTCCTGAGAATGCTGCTTCCCTGCTTTTCTAGCAGACCCAGATCTGTTATCGTAAACAGCTGCCCTGCTCCAAGGTGTCCTGAGCTGTTCCACTTGAAAGTAAACATTTGTGCTATTTAATCACATCGTAATTGTGGAGGAAGAACCAAATGAGAAAGTGTGAAACAAGGTGTGCAGAACAGGCACATGCGTATCCTGTGGGAACACAAAACAGGCAACAGTGCATGCACACACACGTTTCCTTGTGCTAACACAACACAGGCAACAGGGAATACTTGCATGCTTCCCACCGAGAAACCAAGGGGAAGGCAGATTTTTTACTTTCCATGTAAATGGCATGACCAAGATAAGGTCAGTTGTAAGGAAACTATCACCATTCCTGCTGTGTTATCCACTTATTTCCAAGAAAATAATTCTACAGCCTTAACTGATTTTTTCTCTGAAATACTATTTAATGATTATCAAGGAATTCTGTGTTCCAGAGGCTCGATGCTTCGCCCATTCACATTTCCGTTTGAGTAGCCTACACTGGACAACATTAGTCACTGAAATTGTCATTTTTGTTTGTTTGTTTGTTTTGTTTTTGGAGACAGGGTTTCTCTGTGTAGCTTTGTGCCTTTCCTGGAACTCACTTGGTAGTCCAAGCTGGCCTTGAACTCACAGAGATCTGCCTGGCTCGAAATTGTCATATTTACCAAGACTTACCAAAGGTGAAGAGTTGACCCACACATGCACTATAGAATCTTAATGGTCTCACCTAAGCATCAAATGATTTTTCCAAGTCACTCGTTACTTATGCATGTAGCACACACCTGTTGGCATTACTGTGGAGTTTTTCCAACTTTGATTCAGCTGTTATAGGTTTTATCACAGCAGTGACCTCAGTTTTCTAATTTCAAACAGAGGTGGTTCACATCCCCAGCTCTTTGCAGTCTCCTTCATTTTATCATTGTCTATTCTTCATATGTTTATTGACGACCTACGATACAATGGGCAGTGACAGGGAACAGGCATACATATGAAGATGCAAAGCTCATACACAGTTTCTCAGAGCTCTGACATATGACATATTCAAGTGGGGACTGGATAATATGTGTAAAAATAATTCTTCAAGAATGAAGAGCCCTATGAGCTACTAATAGCATTCAACTGGGAACAACTATTTTGCCAGAGGCTTCTATGAGAAGCAAGGATCTTTTTCTTTTCTTTTTCTTTTTTCTTTTTTTGCAAAGAGCATTGAAAGATTCATACAGATCTCTAATATCAACAAATTAAGTCACACTTATAACATAGCTGCGTTCTTCCTGAATCTTGGGAGTACATCTTTTTTAACTTGATTATACCGAATATTTGAAGCCTACGTTCCTGTCATGAGTATTCTTAGGAGGCCAAGCACATTACAGTGGTTAAAGTTGAGTGCAGGTCAGTTCAGTTATTTCTAAACAGATGAAGGGTGTGTGTGTGTGTGTGTGTGTCCATGTGTCTCTGTGTGTATGTCTGTGTGTCTATCTGTGTGTGTTTGCATGTGAAAATAGGCATACACAATGACAAAACTCAGAAAGGAGAATCTTTCTTTCAACATTAGTTGTTCCTAAAATCTGGGCCACATATTGTCCTAAAAATTTAAATCAAGGTTCGTAACGTAGTGCTTATTAAGATTTTTTTGTCTGCCAAGGAAATCACCTTTTGCTGCTTTCACCCAGCCTTCACACTAACATCTTCATGTGTTGTGACTTGTTAAAGGAACTACAGGGCTTTCTGGGGTCTTAAGGGTATTTGCTCGACATTTGTTATCATTTCTACTGATTTGTTCAGTTATGGTGAAAATTTTATTTCAAACCAAAATTTTAGCAAGGTTAGTTGTGTGGAAAGTTCCTAACACTCTTGGATAGGATGGATCGTAATAAAAACTCTTGGATAGGATGGATCGTAATAAAAACTTTTGGATAGGATGGATCATAATACTTTTTAAGCTGATAAAATAATGCTAACAGAATGTTCAAAATGAACCACAGTGGCACCTCAAATGAGATGTTTCCATACCAATCGTGCCATTCATAACTAATTGCTAATGGACAATGGCTAGGCTGGAAAAAACGGACAAGGACAATTAATTGAGTTAAATAAGCTTGGATATTTCCAGTTGAATGGAAATGCCCACTGAGTATGCTTGCTTATTTTGCAAAGAACTGTTATGTAGTTATAGATTGCATTCCCACCAACTGACAGCCAGCCCATCTAATTTAACACTCTTTTTAGCTCAGCAAATTCTGATTTGGAGCCTTGATGTGCATGAGTTTTTGTAGAATTGTATTTGCAAACCAACTGAAAAAAAAAATAGAGAGTTCCGATCCCAGAGAACATGGTGTAGCTCAGAGCTTGCCAGAGACAGCAGCTGTGATTGCCTGAGAGCCGCCTGGGCTCTTTTCTCACCAGTGTGGTAGAGTCTGCCTTCTGAGCAAACTTGTGACAGGAACTCAGGCTTCAGGTAGCCCAACGCCATCAAATCCAAAAGGATGCGTTCTTAAGATTTAGGAAGAACACAGCTATGTATAACCTCTGACGTAAGTATGGTTTAATCAGGGGGAAAATCAGATTAGCAAATTCATCCAGAATGAATTGCTTTACTGTTGTTTCTAAGTATATTCCACAGTGAATTTATTCTGAAATTAAATCTAAACTGTTTATAGTATAAAAGCCCTAATCTAAGAACTTGAGTCTCAGTGGTGATGTTTACAAGACAGTTGAGAAAATGTCCTCCACAAAGGGAAGGCTCAGAGCAAAAGGTCATGCTTACAGGTGCTAAGAAGTGGGGTCCTTTGCCTATGCTAGGAAGAGGGCAAGAAGGGCACCCACTATTATCCGGCTAGCTGACACAGTCTCCTGATCTGTGGAGATACCAACTTTTGAACATTTGTTTATTTATTGCTTGTTTGTACTTGTGTGTTGGGGGAGAAGCAGCGTGTGCATGTTGAGATCAGGACAACCTGTGGGAGGTCACTCCTACCATGTGTGTCCTGGGTTTGAACCTTTTTCTTCTGAGTCATCTCTCCAGGCCCCTGTGGAATTTGCAAAGAGTGTGTTCTTTACACAGTTTTTAAGAGTTCTCTTAGCTCTTGCTTCTTCATGGTCAGTCTTTGGGGAAAGATGCAGAGTGGATCATGTGACCTGTTCCCCGAGGGCTGCTTTTTGGTGGTACCCACACACCTCTGCTTTCTGTTCAACTACTGTTACCTGCTCTTTAGAACCTTGAAGCATTTGAAGAAGAGCATTTAGTGGCACTGGTAGAAGTTTTCTTTCTTGAAATTTCCTTATTGGTTTCCCACTAATCTCATGGTTATAGCCAAAGGCTTCCAGAACAGAACTATAAAATAACATGACTTTAATTTTGGGTAAAATTTCTGGATGAAAATACATTTTTTAAAATGACCTTCCCAGAAGAACTTTTTAGTTATTTGAATGATAGATTAGGCATTATTCCTTAACTAAGCAAAATAATCTTGACATTGCAAGGTAATCTAGTTGGTTAGAAACTTCCTTTGATGTTAAAATATGTATTACAAACATTATATATTCCTTAATAATACTATACACACAAAAGCAGAAGGTATGTGGAGAGAGGGGAAGAAGATGGTTAAAACAATTAGGTGATTTTTAAGAATTCATATTACCCATAGAAATGCTTCTGGAAAGACCTCCCTGGCCTTTCATCGGGAGTGAAAGTGCAGAGCCGTGACTTACACATTTTGTTTCTATTTCATGGCATGAGCTAACTAAGGAAGCCCCCTGTGAGTTAGTGTTTGCTTCACACTTTGTCACAGCTTGCAGTTTTGATCCCACACAGCCAGACTTTAAAAGGAGCAGGGGTATTACTGCCCCAGGGTAAATGACCAGCCAGGAGGGGAATTAAAATGAAGTTGCAAAGCGAAACTGGTCCTCCAGAATTCCTTACTGGATCCAGAATGGACCTCACTGTCAAAACAGATGATGTGAAACATGACTCAGAGTCTGAGAAGGAGCGTGGGGTTGTGGGGCGGTCTTTCATCCTATAGCGAAAATAGAAGGGGCCCATGTGAGACAGGGAATGACAGAAAGCAGGCTCGCACTCTTCCGGAAGAATTAGAAATCATAAATAAGCCAGCACCTAAGAGCCTGCGCCCATGTCTGAGGGCTCAGAGCAGCCCTTGAAGCATGCAGACTATGTGCAGTTTCCACAAGGGAAGGGCCAGCTTGAAGCATGCAGACTGTGCACAGTACCCGTGAGAGAAGGGCCAACTTGGCTCAGCAAGGAGTTGATTATTGTTTAAGTTCTCCAGGCAATGGTATAAACCATATTTTATTGCATTTTACCATAAATTTGTTCATTTTAGGGGATGCAAGTCACTATACAAAGTCTGAAGAGAAAAACTATATGTTATATTGTTTGATAAAGTAATGGAATAAATAGTATGCTTGCTTAAAAAACAAACAAATAAACAAACCGCTGACAATATCCTAAGAAGTGTGAGTGTTTCCATGTAGTTAATAAGATCACGAAAGAACAGGAATGGATTCAGATGGCTCAGTAAAGTACCTCGGTTGTGTCTCCTGGATTCATCACAGAACACAGAGGAAGATGTAGCTACAAATGTCCACAATGGCTAAGCTGGGCAGTGTTACACAAATCCAAAGTTTCGTTGCTGGCGTACGGGCTTTGTAAAACAACGCCCCCTACTTTGACCCCTTAAGCAGCAGCATACCAAACAAAAGCTGCATTCAAAGTCATGTCGACAGATTTTGGAATTTGTATAAACCAGGGACACCTTTGACACACTAATTGCAGAAGCATTTCACACACACACACATACACACACATACACACACATACACACACACCCCATGGTGAGGAATATTTGATTTGATTTTTCACAAAAATACCTCCTAATCCAGCATGTTGTACCATCTTCCTTATCAAATCTCCCCCTTCCTGATCCCAGATGTGTCTGCCCTGAAGAGATAGATCCCTTCAATATTCAGAAAAATCCTAGGTGGCTCCATTGGGAAACAGGAGGGGACAAAGCCTGTGATAGCCGGTATTTGTCATTCTTCAGTAGGAGAAATGACGATTGACTGAATGGTCGGGTAGCCAGAGGGTTGGCTTCCAGGAGCGATGGGATCCTGATCTGAGGGTAGTGACACATTCTGGCCTGATTATCAGAAAACCTCCCAGACCACGAGCTGAGCTAAGCTGTACTTAAAACTGAAAAAGGAACTTAAGAAGAAACAGTAAAAGCCCTTTTTGCGTGGTATTTTGGATACTGGGAAATGTACAAGAAAAAGCAGGTTCACTTGGTGATGTCATATGTTCTAGCACTGTGTGAGCCCCACTGTCATTCTATTAGATGTCACTTTAAGGACTTGAAAAGAGACAAGATAGTAAACTATTCAAAGCATTTGTTGATATTTATCTAAATATGGTTTAGTAACGGACTGATATGAGCAGTCATAAAGTGACTGGTTAAGCCATTCTTGCTTCTCCAAGTACGAATAGGCATCACATGAGACAGCATCAGGCTTTTGCAGGGAACAGATAAGCTAAAGAAGAGAAAGCCACCCTCATCATCATTCAGGAGAGTGCCCAGACTTCAGAGTCACTGACAAACCTCATAGAGTCAAAATCCCCTAAAGTAATTAATGTCATTAGGTCTGCGGTCTAGGGGCTTCCGGGCGCTTACTGTCCAATCCCTCAGCTACTAGCTGGGCAACCTGGGGTGTTTTCTGCCTCATTTTTGTAACTACAGCTCATGTTCTTTTATCTGTGTATAATGAATGCCCCGAGACTCCAGCGTTTCACCTTGAATAGGTCAGGTAAGGACAAAGCCTGTCCAAATTTCCTTGAACATAAAGATTCAAATTACTCTGCTAAGAGCTTCTGACCGTAGACAGATGTAATATGAATTGAAAAGGAAGTTTGCATTTAAACTTTCTATATAACACACACACATTTCATTTACTTCCTTGTGGGTCACATACAAAGTAAGAGCTCTATTCAGGGGCCTGGACATGGGCCTGGGGGTGTAACTTGGTGGTAACCAGTATGTGAAACCTAGTGCGTCATCCCCAGCACCAAGGGAAGACCAAGATTCTGGCTGTTTTCTCGCCAGTACTTTCTGACCCAGCCCAAGAGAAAAATCTGCAGCAGCGCTGGCTCTTTTCTGTTTATGTTGCTAAGTTACTGAATATTTTGTCTTGCCTCGTCCAGAAAACTGGTAATTGTCTTCAAACAGATAAGCTGCATTCTGGAACACAGTTAACGTGCCCTAAATATGCTGAGATTACTTTTGTATGTTTCTCTCTCTCTCTCTCTCTCTCTCTCTCTCAAATACAGTTTGCAGAGAATGGTGATTCTCTACCAATTTGAAATGGATTTCAAACATCTTTGTGTTTAAGCAGAAACATGTCTGTCTAGGGTGTCTGTGAACTACAGGTGTTCATACACATACCCCCATGCTGCTCATAGGCTTGTTGAGAAAGGAAGAGCATTTGGAGTCTGAAAAGGGAGAAGAAAGTGAGTAGAGAAGGGGAGGCAGGTTGGCCATGCCATCAGTACAGGCTGGGCTTCGAGGCAGATAGTAAACATTTCTGTACTGCAGTAGGGCCAGGCTCTCTCCCCAACTCCTCTTCTTAAGCAAAATATGGGCAGTCCCTAGGTCAGAGTATCCTATTACTAGGATCTGTAATGCTCAAGGGCAGGAGTTAGGGAAGGGAACAGAGGCTACTCAGCATAGTTGTGGTACCACAGGCTATATCCAGCCCTCTGGATATTATGGAAACTAAGAAATGAGTGGGTAAAATACAGTTAGGTAACACAAAGTTTAACACACATTCAAAATGATTGCTTTTCTCTTAGGCATAAAGGCTTAACAAAAAACTATGGAGTTTAGGAAATAAGTATATCCAGTTGTGTCTTTTATGAGTTTTCCCTCCACCACAGTCTGGTGGAACAGGAACGATGGGTTCCCGCCACCCCTCAGTCTCCTGCTTTCGAACAGTGATGATGTCAATGCCCTGAATTCCTTTCTACTACTTCCTAAGAAGTCGAGACCTGCCTCCGCACTATTTTCTCAGTGTCAGTTGAGAGCAAGAAGGAGATTGCAAGACACCCAAGGCCCAGCATGCCGATGGAGGCATGTCCCCCCACCCCCGCCCCGCCCGCCAACAGCTTTGGCACAGACCTCACCTGCTCTCAGCCACTCTACCCTCCTCTGTGATGTGTATACTCATGTTGCCATGGAATAAATCAAAACTTTATAAAATGGAGATTAAATGAGATCTTTCTCAGACCTGTCATCTGGATTCACTGCTCACTTTCTCTTGTCCTCTCTGGAGGACTGATTTGAGAGAGGAGATAATGCAAGAGCACCTCCACAGGGAGAGCTGTAGCAGAACAGTGGGGGATCCAAGCCCTCCTGTGTGTGATTTCTTCTTTCATGTGTTGGCAGATCAGCTTCTGAAATCAGCGTGGGCTGCAAACTATGCTGCTAAGAACAGTACCAGAAGACATTTGCAAAATCCCCTGAGCACGTCTACATGTTCTCCTCTGCCAAAGGGAACCAGAGAACTGGAGTGTACATCTCCTTCGATTCCAGCATCCCATGATCCTTTAAAATCCTCTCTGTCTGTCCTTATATTCCAAATCTGGGAGGGAAATTAGATCAGCACTCTTAACACTTTGGTCCCCGTTCTACTCCAATCAAATCACCTTTAAAAATGAATAACTTTGCTTTACTCTAAGCATTGGGGGTCTTATGAGGCAGGAGAAGAGCTCTAAATAGCCAAAAAGCAAACTGATATCAGGGGGACTCAAAATAATGTGGCTCTATTTATCAAAACCGACGTCTGTCTAAGCAGAAATAAAGGAAAGTATTGTTCACGGAGAAGATAGGGGGAACTGGAGCTTTCAGTACTCCAGAGGGCTTGCAAAGAGAAACGCCACAATGTTCAGAGAAAGGTAGAATAAGGCATGTGGCAGTGTTCTTCTTTTAAAACAGAAGAAACCTGTTTTTCTAGATGTGTTAGTGTTCATGAGCTTCTCAAGTATGATGCTTGAAAAGCAGTGCAAACCACATTGCTTTCTGCCATAGCGAAGGATACAAACCACATTGCTCTCTGCCACAGCTGAGGACACAAACCACATTGCTCTCTGCCACAGCTGAGGACACAAACCACATTGCTCTCTGCCACAGCGAAGGACACAAACCACACTACGCTCTGCCACAGCGAAGGAAACTCTAGGAGAGTTCTTGGTTTTTGGTGTGTTTATGAAAACTTCCCTGGAAGTGGGCCTCCTGAAAATGAAGCGATATGACGGGAGGAGGGGAAAGCATGAGCAAAGTCTTTCAAACTTTTTTTGACCTCAGAGGCCACAGACAGAAAACTGCTGGTGTGTCCCCAAAAGGACTCTAATTCTGAAAACTTCCAAAGCCTACTCAGGTAACCTCCTGGGTCAGCACAGCTTCCCCCTCTGTGTACAACAGCCCATTTAAATTCCTGAAGACAATGATGGTACAGGGGATGTAATAAGAGTGTGTCTTTCACACAAAGAAGGACATTTAGAAAGAAATTAGCGGCTGCACCCTCACTAGATTTATTTGCATTTCCTGAAATGAGCATTTCATTAAAAAAACACATAATAAAAGTAAAATTTACCACCCATCTCCTTGACACATCTGGGAATGGAAGTCTCAAACTAGGTCTTAAGACTTGAGTCTCTTGATATTGCTGAAGAAATGGTAGCAAAAAGAAGAGTTCACTATCTAAAACAAATTTAGTAAAGGGACTTTATTAAAGAGACAGCAGTTTAAGGCAAGATCTCTTCACACCAAACAAAATGTCTTCCACTCCTTGTCCCTCGCCTCTTGACACTGCTGTAGGCAGCTGATGGTGGTGTGGATAAAGTCTTCTCATGCGGACTGCGTCTCTGTGGAGCTTTATCCTAGCTTGTTCTTTGATGATAACAGAGCATGAAGTCTGCAGCTGACTGACTAGCTCTGTGCCTTAGATACAGGCAGTCTCTGCTTTGACCTTGTTCTGGGTCTCACTGTGTTGTACCTACAGGAAACCTTGGCTAATCTGGAGCTGCTTCGACCCACAATAATCAGCCAAGGAGAACGCCGTGCTCAAGCAAGCCTAAGGCAGCAGAAAATACGACTTGAACAAAAGTCAACAGGGCTGCTGTTGACATTTTTGTACCTTATTTTGAGACTTATGCTTAGTTTTCAGGAAAAAAATTAATCTGAAGAATAAAGGAGATGAGAAATGCATTTTAGAGTGTTGTTTATTGGTAATTTTTTTATATGGTAGAGATTATGGGTATTTTAAACAGAAAGGCAAACACTATAATGCCCATTGCCCTTTTCACTGAGGGGGCAATAAGAGAGTGTATTTATACTAGCCTCACAGCTCCCATAACAGTAACTATGGGGGATGATGGCTATGTAGATTTAAATGTCA